ATGATGTACTGTAGGGATTGCTCATGGAATAGCCTAAAGACGTTCTCCTATCCTTTCAGTCTGTCAGTAATTGTTCTTTTCCATCCTGTTTATTTGTAAACAGTAATTATGTTCAAATGCATATGTTCATCAATGAATCATTGGACGTTTTTGCAAATAAAAACACAAGTGTAAAATAAAAAGGCAAATAGTTTTTGTACTTTGAAAGAGATATCTTTGTATTTACTTTGAATAAGTATTTTTTACAAAGGAGACAAACATCCTAGTAAGAAGATGGTGTCATAAAAAATGAGAAAAATTTATACAAAGATAGCTATGTGTTAAAAAATCCCATGGGGTTCCCATTCCGCTATAGCCTTCGTGTCTCTGAATATCTTGTCTGTATGTTGATTCGTCCTAAGATGATTGGATTGATCCGAAGCTCAGATTTTGTCAGTGAAGAGATTGTCCTTAAAGTGATCCAACGAGACATAGCCATACGCTTTAATTCCCTAACTTTTGCCTGGACCGCCCTTTCGGGTTTTCAGTCCACCGGGAAACCCTTTTTTGCCCAAGTCGCCCTTTCGGGTTTTCAACTTGCCGGGTGTACATGTTTTTTTTGCTTTATCCCTAATTTCGCCTGAACCGCCCTTTCGGGTTTTCGATTCACCGGGATGCCCTTTTTTGCCTAGGTGTGTCAACCTAGTGGGTTTTTTATGTGTAGTATCTTTTGACTATGTCTGCGTTCGCAGGGTGTGGCAAGTCATCGCCGTCTATGGTGGTTAAGATCATTGCCCCACCAGAAAAGATGTTCTTGATTACAAATGGTCCTTCATAGGTAGGAGTCCATTTTCCCCTGGGATCACTTTGTGGCAAGATGATGCGCTTGATTACAAGATCTCCAACTTGATATGTATGGCGTCTTACTTTCTTGTTGAAAGCCTTGATCATCCGTTTTTGATACGTATGACCATGACAAACAACAGTAAGTCTCTTTTCATCAATTAAGTTGAATTGATCAAGTCAGGTTTGAATCCAATCGTCTTCACTCAAACCTGCATCCTTCATGATTCTCAAAGACGGGATCTGAACCTCAATAGGTAAAACAACCTCCATGCCATAAACCAAAGAATAGGGAGTTTCCCCAGTTGATGTACGAGTCGTGGTACGATACCCATGGAGAGCAAACGGTAGCATCTCATACCAGTCCTTGTAGGTGACTGTCATTTTCTGTATGATCTTTTTGATGTTTTTGTTTGCAGCTTCGACATCACCATTCATCTTTGGCCGATAGGGTGATGAATTGTGATGTTGAATCTTGAACTGCTCGCATAGGGCGGTGATCATAGTATTGTTAAGGTTTGTACCGTTGTCAGTGATGATCCTTTCGGGGATACCGTACCGGAAAATAAGATTCTGCTTGATGAAGTGGGAAACAACATTCTTAGTAACGAATGCGAAGGAAGCTGCTTCGACCCACTTGGTGAAGTAGTCAATGGCCACCAGAATGAAGCGGTGTCCATTGGATGTTGTAGGCTTGATCTCTCCAATCATGTCGATTCCCCACATAGCGAATAGCCAAGGATCTGTTAATACATTTAGAGGCACCGGAGGCACGTGTACATTGTCTGCATAAATTTGACATTTATGACAAGTCTGAGAGTGTTGATAGCATTCAGCTTCCATGGTAGACCAGTAATAGCCTGCCCGTAGAATCTTCTTCGCCATCGTATGCCCGCTAGAGTGAGTGCCGAAGGTACCTTCATGCAATTCAGCCATGATCTTTTCAGCTTCAGCTTTGTCCATACAACGGAGCAGAATAGAATCATGATTGTGCTTGTATAAGATGCCATTTCTTAGGAAGAACTTAGCCGAGAATCTCCTTAAGAACTTTTTGTCATTGACTGAAACTCCTTTCGGATATTATTGAGCCTCGAGATACCTTTTGACTTCATGAAACCACGGTTGGTCCACTACTTCTTCGGTATTAATCTCGTGACAGTGTGTCGGTTCGCCCATTCGTTCAATGGTGATTTGGGGAGCCTCATTATCCCATTTAAGTTTAAACATGGATGACATTGTAGCTAGAGCATCTGCTAGCTGATTTTCTTCTCGCGGGAAGTGCTCGAAGGTAATCTGCTCAAAATGTGGTAACAATGTCAAGACATGTTCTTTGTAAGGGATGAGGTTTGGATGCTTAGTGTCCCACTCTCCTTTTATCTGACTGATGACTAAAGCTGAGTCCCCAAACACAATCAAAGATTTGATTCCCAAGTCTATGGCAGCCTTGAGTCCAAATATGCAAGCTTCATACTCTTCCATGTTGTCCGTACAGTTGAAGCAAAGTCTGGCTGTAAAAGGAGTATGGCAACCTTCTGGAGATATAAGTACAACACCGATACCGTTACCAAGCCCATTGGAGGCCCTATCAAAGTACAGGGTCCATCGGGATCCTTGTTCAGGTCCGTCATATGGTCTGAAATCTTCAATATTGTCCAATGTCATGATGTCTTCGTCAGGGAAGTCAAACTTCATGGATTGATAATCTTCTACAGCTTGATGGGCCAGATGATCAGCTAGCACACTTCCCTTTATAGCTTTTTGGGTCGTGTACTGTATGTCATATTCCATTAGGATCATCTGCCATCTAGCTATTCTTCCAGATAGAGTAGGCTTCTCGAAGATGTACTTTATCGGATCCATCTTACATATCAGCAAAGTGGTATGAGTCAACATATACTGCCTTAGCTGGCGAGCAGCCCATACCAAAGCGCAACAAGTTTTCTCGAGCAGTGAATATCTGGTTTCACAGTCGGTAAACTTTTTGCTAAGGTAATAAATGGCATGCTCTTTTCGGCCAGACTCGTCATGCTGCCCCAATACGCACCCCATTGAATTCTCTAAGACGGTCAGATACATGATTAGCGGTCTTCTTTCGATGGGTGGCATCAAGATAGGAGGTTCTAGCAAATACTCCTTGATTTTATCGAAAGAAATCTGACAGTCATCATTCCATCTAACTACCTGATCTTTCTTCAACAGCTTGAAGATTAGTTCACAAGTAGATGTTAGGTGAGAAATGAAACTAGCAATGTAGTTTAGGCGTCCCAAGAAACCTCTGACCTCCTTCTCAGTGCGAGGAGGAGGTATTTCTTGTATAGCTTTTACTTTGGCAGGATCAACCTCGATGCCTTTGTTGCTGACAATGAAACCAAAGAGTTTACCGGACCGGACTCCGAATGTACACTTGTTTGGGTTCAATCTGAGCTTGTACTACTTCAACCTGACAAACAGCTTTTGCAAAGACTTAATGGGAAATACGAAATTAACTGTTATCTGGTCAGATTCCAGGTTTAAGCAGTTTTGGGCTTAACTGTTATCTGGTTGGGCCCCAGGTTTAAGCAACTTGACCTGTTATCTGGTCGGGTCTAGGTTTTAGCAATTTGATCTTGAGGTTAACTGGTTTTTGGTCGGGTCCAGGTTTTAGTAACTCAAATTGTTATCTGGTCGGGTCCAGGTTTCAGCAATTGAAGAAGTTAAACTATTATCTGGTCGGGTTCAGGCTTTAGTAACTTAAAAATTGAGATTTATTGTTATCTGGTCGGGTCCAAGTTTCAGCAACTTAAACTGTTTTCTGGTCGAGTTTAGGCTTTAGTAACTTTATCTGGTCGGGTCCAGACTTTATAGTAAATTAGATCAATTCTTATCTGGTCGGGTCCAGGCTTTGCAGTAATTGGTTTGGATGGGATGAAGTTGATCTAGTATTCAGTCAGGTCCAGGCTTCGTAGTAGCTTAGTTTAAGTTAAGTTGTTATCTGGTTGGATTTCGGGCTTCGCAGTAACTTACTAGGATAGTAATGACTCTGTTGGGGATTGAGGGGTTTTATCCTTTAATTCGTAATAGTCAAATACAAGGCTAAAGCTGCACAAGTGGTGAATGTGATTGAAAACCCTTTCCAAACATTGCAAAAATTTGAGGAAGGAGAAACCTCAAGAGGAGATCTGGTTATGAACAGTACAATTGAGAAAGGAGGGGAGGGAGGATCCCCTCTTAATAATGGATAAGATTGTATCTTGGAATGTCAGGGGGGAAAATAACCACATGAAACAAAGAGAGATTAAAAATATGATCCTTTGTAACATGGTGGGAATTATATGCCTTCTTGAAACTAGAGTTAAGGCTCATAACCTTGGTAACTTGTATCATAATGTGTTTTCTGGATGGTGTTTCATATCTAACATAGCTAGCCATGAAGGTCGGAGAATTGAGTTAGGATGGAATCCTAAGATATATGAGGTGGATATCTTGAAGAGTACTAGCCAAATTATTCATTTGAAAATCAATCACCTAGGGAATGAGTGGGAGAGTTTGGTAACTTTTGTGTATGGCTTCAACGTTGGTAAAGAAAGATTAGATCTCTGGAAATACTAAAAGGAAGTGTAGAGTAGTAATCCCTGGCTCATCATGGAAGATTTTAATGATATTCTCTTTAGGGAGGATAGAATCGGGAAGAAGTCTAGATATCCTAATAACAACAACTTTCTTCAATGTGTTCAGGATTGTCAGTTGGAAGGTATCAAATATATTGGTAGCTATTTTACTTGGAATAATCAGCAGTATGGGAGTGACATAATTTATTCTAAGATTGACAGAGCTTTAGCTAATCAAAGTTGGTTAAACTCTCATACAAATTCTAATGTACATTTCATGCTGGAAGGCAAGTTTGATCACACTCATATCATTCTCACCATAGACCAGGAGGTGGCGGGTGGAAAAAAACTTTTAGGTATTTTAGAATGTGGCATAAATACCCTGGGTTCAAAGATATGCTCAAAGACAGTTGGAATAAATCTTGTTATGGGACTCCAATGTATAGAGTTTTCCATAAGATGAAGAGAATGAAGGAGATGCTAAAGTATATCAACAGGAAAGGGTTTAACAATATTCAGGAGGCTGAGTTGGTAGCTAGGCATAAGCTTGAGTAGAGTCAATAAGATCTTAGAAAATATCCCCTTAATGTTATGTTGATGGACAAGGAACACTCTGCTAGAAGAGTTGCTGTGGAGACTAGCCAAGCTTACTTTAAGTTCCTGGCCCAAAAAGTTCACCATAGATGGATGAAAGATGGTGATGCTAATACAACATTGTTTCATGCTAGTATTAGGCAAAGAAATAACACAAATAGGACTACTTCTATAGCTAGTTGGGAAGGTTCTTGGTTCAATGATCCTAAAAAGTTGACGTCTAAATTCATTTATTTTTATGAAGAGTTACTTGGGAATTCCTTGAGCAACAAAATTAAAGTGAAGACTAGCATCCTGGAGAAAGGGAAGAAGCTTAACCAGAGGCAGGGGGATTTCCTGATGAGATCTTATGTAGAAGATAAAGTGAAGAAGGTTGTTTTCAGTATCCTGGGTGAGAAAGCGCCAGGTCCGGATGACTATAGTAGTTACTTTCTTCAAGATAATTTGGATATTATTGGCGAGGAGGGTTAGTAAAGTTATTATCTCTTTTCTGAAATCTGGTAATATCATGAAAGAAATCAACATTACTACCATCACCTTAATTCCTAAGTCCAAGTGTCCTAATATGGTGAGTGATTATAGACATATCTCCTGCTGCAATGTGATTTATAAGGTTGCTTCTAAAATCCTGTGTAATCGTCTTAGAGAGATTTTACCTGATATTATAGCTCAAAATCAAGGTGGTTTTATTAAGGGTAGATTCATAGCCCATAATATTATGATTTGTAAGGACTTAGTCAAATACTATGGTAGAAAGAATTATAGTCCTAATTGTATCATAAAGTTGGATGTAAAAAAAGCTTATGATACAATTGAGTGGGACTTTATTGAAGAGATGATGGATGGGCTGAATTTCCCTAAGCATTTTACTGGTTTGGTTATGAACTGTGTTAGAACACCAAAATTTTCTTTAATGATGAATGGCTCTTTACATGGTTACTTCAAGTCCAAGAGAGGATTGAGACAAGGATATCCTATGTCTCTATTGTTATTTATGTGTTGGATGGAGTACATTTCTAGGATTACGAGGAAAGTTGGAGACTTGGAGGAGTTCAAGTATCATGGTAATTGCAAGACTTTGAAGTTGAATCATTTATGATTTGCAGATGATGTGCTCCTATTTAGTAAGGGTGAGTTTATCCCCATTTACAAGATGTTGCAAGGTATATAGATCTTCTCTAGAACTTCTAGATTATATCCTAGTAAATAAAATACTATTATCTTCTGTAATGGTATGACAGATAAGATATGAAGAGAGTGACTGATGCCTCTGGTTTTAGTAGGGGTTAATGCCTTTTACTTACTTAGGAATGCCGATTAAATCAAAAAAGATATCAGCTCAGGATTTTCAAAATTTGGTTGAAAAGATGACAGGTAAAATAAGATCTTGGAGCACTAGAGCTTTGTCGTTTGCTGGGAGAGATATTCTGGTTAATTTTGTGTTGATGACTTTCCATGCTTATTGGAGTCAGATTACTGTTTTACGAAAGCATGTGTTCAAGGACATTAATTCCATATGTAGAGCTTACTTGTGGACTGGTAAGGCTTATAATTAGTCTGCTGGTAATATTGCTTAGCATAAAGTTTGTAAGTCTAAGCAGGAAGGTGGATTAGGTTTCACTAATATCAAGGTGTGGAATGTGGCAGCCATTGGGAAGCATGTTTGGAATGTTTCCAGGAAAAAGGAGTATATGTGGATAAAATGTATTAACCAAGTGTATCTAAAAGATGGTGACTGGTGGGATTATGGTATTCCATCCTAAGGGAGTTGGTATTGGAAGAAAGTTGTGGAGGTCAAAGACAGTTTAAATACCAAGAAGCAGTCTATTGAGAAAGAGGAGTATAGCATCAAAAAGATTTATAAAATGCTTGAGGGGAAGGTGAGAAGTGTCATTGGGCTAAAGTTGTTTAGGATACTAATAATATTCCTAAGCATAGATTCATTGGGTGGTTATTTATGCATGATAGGCTCAAAATAAAAACCAGGCTGCATACGATGAAGATTGTGTATAATAAAAAATGCTTGTTCTGTGATGAGTTTAATGAGACTAAGCATCATTTATTTTTCAGTTGTAGGTTCAGTACAAGGTGTTGGGAAGCTATCAAAAGTTGGATGAATTGGAAGATTGTTAATATGGACCTTGTTGCGGTTATTATATGGATTACCATAGGCAAAGTCAAGAAGTTTAAGCAAAAATGTGTATGCTTATGCTGTGCTAGCTATGGTTTATCACATTTGGAGAGCTATGAATGAGGTTCTTTAGAATCAGAAGGTGTGGAACCCGAGCTCGATAGTTAAAAAGATAAAGGAAGATTTTCTAAATAGAATAGGAAATATAGAGAATCATAAGTATAGTGATATTGAAAAAGAGTGGTATAAAAAATTGTAATTTTGTCTTTATTTGGTCTTATGGACCTTGTACAGTTTCGTGATTGATGCAATATATAGTTGATTTATAAAAAAAAAACTTATGATTCATCTACTCACTTCCTCACGCGTTTCACTTTTAGTCTCATCGCATCCACCCTTAACTAAAAAAACTTTCTTTCATCTTCTCACTTGACCATGTAAAAACTTAAGAAGATATGAATATATTTGTGTATTCGATATATCTCTCAGTACAAGCAAAAACTCCTATTTATAATATTGGATTGAAGACAAAGAAAAAATAGAATAATTACTCACAAAGACTAATTAAACATAACATAATTACAATATAAATTACAATAATGAGATCATTATAATATATTGTAACATTCCCCCTCAAACTCAAGTGGGTCGAATTGTAAACATCTTGAGTTTGGAAACCAAAGTCCACAATACCCAGGAGAATGAAGTTTTGTGAACAAGTCGGCTAGTTGGTCAAGAGTGACTATGGAAATAAGATGAAGTTCACCATAAAGAAGATGTTGATGAATGAAGTGACAATAAATTTCAATAAGTTTGTTCGCTCATGGAAAACATCATTACAGGTAAATTGAGTTATATTACGAGTGTCAGAATAAATATCTGACGAGGAAGGTTGTAAGAAATTTATTTTAATATTCTATGTAAATGTAATCATTAAAAAAAGAATTCACCTCAGGTCTATTTCCTACACTAAGGTGATAGTTAAAAAGGGTTGATAAAATACCTCGGTTTTATTATTCAATCGAGGGGTATAATAATCATATTTTACTATAAAAACACTCGTTACACAGATTATACCCTAATCCTTAATAATATGAAGTCGCTCCAAATAGAGGAAATATTTATACTAGTTTGTTTCATGAGTTGCTACAACATATTTCTTGGATGGATTGCAAGTGCTGAAAATAAAAATTCTCATTCACCCTTGTAATACGGTGGGAGAACTGACTTTACTGATTTTTCATTTTATCGCAAATGTTGCGGTTAGCAAGAGTCGTCGACGACTTTTCTTTTATCCAACAAAGGAAAGGGTGAAAATAACAGGAAAGACCTTTTTAAAGATTTTGAGTTCGGGGGTAGGTTATGGAAAGGGAAGGTATTAGCACCCTTTCCATCTGTAGTTATCTACGGGCTCTTAGTTACTAGCTCATTTTAAAAATGCTTTTTTGTGTAAGTGTATTTTTGAAAATAATTTGAAAAGACGCCTTAGTGCGGCGAACTTTGTAATGATTCTCGAATCATTGAGAATGCATACAAAGTGTTTTTTGTCTTTGAAAATATTTAGAAAAAAGAGAGTGTATATGTGAGAAATGGTTTTATTTTGTGAGCAAGCAACTACAAGCTCTCTACCTACTCAAATGGTCTTTGTTCTTTTCCTCTTTTCCTTTAGATAATTCTATCCTACCATTAGTTGGTGGGTAGCCCTATCATTAGATGTTTGAGGGGAAAGTGCGGGTCATCATGCAGTCATAAAGGAAATTTGTAGGACGCTTTAGAAATTTATCATAAGGGACAAGATCATTTACTGAAAGGCAACATCGAAGGGTCATCGAGGGACTATGACCTTTGTATCGAGGGACTTTGCTAAAGTTTCCCACGTTCGAGGGACATGACTATTTTTTTGAAGGCAACAAGTGGAGGTACCTTAGAGGTGCGCGTGTGCGAGTGTGTTGTATTTCAGTTATGTTTATCTTGAGTGTTAGGCTTGCTAACGTTTGTTTTTAAGTCTTTTCATACAAGCCTATTAGCATACATCTAGCAGTTAATTGTATATAAGTACGGAAAATAAAGTGCAAAAAATTGAATCTACGCTATTACAAAGCTTCGGGATGGGAGAAATTACAAACCAAGAATGTGGAAAGAAAAATGTTAAGGGTCCTAAATAAAGCTATTACAACCTTTGGACAATTACATAATTTTTGAAAATAATGCAAATAAAAATAGATGAACGCGCAAAGAAGAAAAGAGGGGAAAGATGTAAAACCTAAAAATAATCTAAGTGATGAAAAGAAATTTTGTTGTTGTTTTTGTTTAGGAAAAATAATAATTAAATTAAGAGAAACTTAATTCTAATTGATTAATTATTTAAAAAGAAAGTGATTAAATAATTAAATCAAAATTAATTTAATTAAAAAACCTAAGTCTAATATTTTTGTGATTTTTGATTTTTATGATTAAAAGAAATTAATTATTAAAAAAAAAAGAAAATATAAATTAAGCAAAAAATAATAAAAATAAACAATGGGTCTGTCATGACGTTTCGTTCTGCAACGTTTGCGTTGACCTCCTCTACATTTTTCAAACCACCATGGAGGATGGAAAACACCATCATCTCCGATGGGGTTTTTCTTCAAAACCTGCAAAATCAATCAAACAAAAAAAAGAAGCAAAACTCTAGATCTAGTATATTGGATCCTACGATCTCAATGGTGTTATTAGTTTGGGTTAAGAACTCCTGAATCATGAAATATGAAGCTTCATACATTCCACGCCCTAACCATGACATCGTGTTATTTATGCCTTCATGCTTACATGTAAAACATCAGATTTACTCACAACATCAATAATAACAAGAATGAATGCATAAAACTGGTTTAAGTTACATGATAAGAGAGTTTGGAATCAAAATTTTACCAAAACACCATGGGATGGTTTTGAGGATGATCTGAGACGCGTGGGGGTTGGGTAATGATATGAATCGCTTCCTGGAGATCTCAAAAGGATGAAGGAGTTGCTGGTTTTGAATGGGAGAAGCTGAAACTTAGGTTTATGAGTTTTGCAACTTTTGAATTTTTTTTGAGAATTTGAGAGAGCTTTGTTATGTAATAATTTTTGTGTCCTTTTTGGCCTGCCTTGTAGTGCTTCATATAGAGGGAAGGGAGGAGCAAGTATGGCAAGAAATCAAAGCTTTCAAGGCCATGAGACAAAAATCCAACATATTGAAAGTTTGCCATATTTGAATGATTCATGCCAATTCCGTTTTTGCATGAACCTAGACAATTCGCTGGTGGGCTAGCACGAATTATTGGGCCCTTGAATGATCCAAATGAAGCCCTCATGCATTAGCCCATGTTTTCTTATGATTTTATTTAATTTATCTTGTTTTAAATTAAATAAAATTAAAATAAATATAAATAAAAATCAAAGCCATGTATAAATGGACTTAGAGGTTCTTTAAGATGTTATGGACATGTTTTAAGTACAAAAAGTAGGCTCATTGGTTCAAAATTGTAATTTTGCTCAATTTACACTTCATGAATTTCGTCAAAATTCCCCAACTTGTGCAACTCATAACTTTCTCAATTGTTACCTTTTGAAGATGATATTGGACTTTTTGGGAAGCCCAAGATGTCCTCCACAATCTCCATGTTTATAATTTTTGCTTTTGAATACATTATCTTGATGTAAGTTGCCTTGACAAAAAGTGTATTTTGTTGACTTTTAAAAATGACCTATAATGTATGAGCTCATATCTTCCAAACGAAGCATCTTTTGGACTTGAGAATAAAATAAAAGTTGTAGGGAATTAAATTTTATTCAAAATGGGATTTGGTTAGGGAGAAGTTGATGAAGCATGTAAAAGTTATGCATAGTCAAAGTTCAATTGACTTCTCCTAAGGAAACCCTAATTTGATAATTCTTAACTTTTGATGATTTGAGGGCTTTCCTTGACGAATCATGATCAACCATTAATAAAATGATGAATATTACTTCAAAATATTGATGTTGACCAAAAATCTTGAAGTTTGACTATATGTTGACCCACATTTGACTTTTTGACCAATACAATTGATTTTCAATCATTTGAGTCATTGACTAAGAAAACTTATGATGTAGGGCTTGAAACTTGACATGAACCTTGTTAAGGACTTATGAAGAACCATGGAAGCCATTTGGGACCTTTGCAAACCATATTTCCTTGAGAAACTCCAAACCCCAGTTGTAGGCCTTTGGTTTAGGAGGTGCATCTTGACTAGTCAACCCTTGAGTGTCTTGACTACTTAAAGAGCCTTGAGAGAATGCTTTGAGAAAAATGTGAAGGCAAATTTTTGGGTACAATAGCTACCCATGTTCAATCTTCTTAAACTTGAAGAGTTAGATTGGCTCGTCCTCCATTCGTTACTTGAAGGTAGAAGATGATTGAACACTCAAGTGCCCAGAAATTTGCACTCACATGTGGAAGATGGTAACTGTAATACGGTGGGAGAACTGACTTTACTGGTTTTGCTTTTTTATCACAAATGTTTTGGTTAGCAAGAGTCTCCATCTACTTTTCTTTTATCCTATAAAGGAAAGGTTGAAAATAACAGAAAAGACCTTTGAGAATTTTGAGTACGGGGGGTAGAATATGAA